ACAGTTGAATCGCCAAAAGAAAATCAAAGCATTGTATGATCGTCACACGAAGGCAATATAATACAGCACAGGTGATGAAGACCTTATTGCACCAGACTTCAGCAGAGATTCCTGTCGGAATTTATGTGGATTTAGACGGCAATCATTTATTTGATTTCCTCTATTCAGGAAGGTCACTAAGGGAATCGTGGACTCATGTACTGAATTTAAAACTAGCGACCTTAAGCTTTATCCATTTAAATAGTAACATAAACTTTATTTGATACCATGCAAGCGAGTTATTTTTTTTTTGTTGAATGTTTTATCAAAAACGTAAAGTTTTTCTTAAGAAGGGAGGTGTTAAAGAGCATAATCTCACCCTAAGAAGAATCTAGCTCTTAGTAGAGATAATTGGTCAGAACATTAATCTCAACATTCTGAATATTTATTACTAGAGACAGTCAACAGGTTCGGTACTGTTGTTTATCTTCCCATGCCTAACTGACTTTTAATAAGGCACACATCTGAAATTAATTAAAAGCAGAGTTATGCAACTGGGCTTGGTACTGTAAGCAACACTAATTTTGGTTTTGGTGAAGACTTTAGCTTTATTTTAAATAAAGTTGTATGACCTTTTCTTATTGTTTATGTGTTATTTGAACTCGTATGTATGTATGTATGTATGTATGTATGTATGTATGTATGTATGTATGTATGTATGTATGTATGTATGTATGTATGTATGTATGTGTACGTACGTACGTATGTACGTATGTATGTACGTATGTATGTGTACGTACGTACGTATGTACGTACGTATGTACGTATGTATGTACGTACGTATGTATGTATGTATGTATGTATGTATGTATGTATGTATGTATGTATGTATGTATGTATGTATGTATGTATGTATGTATGTATGTATGTATGTATGTATGTATGTATGTATGTATGTGGAAATGCTGCTGTATCATACGAGTAAACGAAGCACCATGATGAATATTTGGGAAAGTATGTAATTATGAGGTAAAATCCTATTAATCAGTGTGTGTATGTGTGCGTGTGTGTGAGAGAGAGACAGACAGACAGACAGACAGACAGAGACAGAGAGACAGAGAGATTGATTGAATTAAGAAATGAATGTTCGAAGAAAAAAAAAACTATTAGGAAATTGTCAGTGTGCAGTTTTGAGGTAATATACTAGTACTGTGTGTGTGCGTGTGTGAACGAGAGGAGAGAAAGTAAGGTAAAACTGACAAATTGACCCGGCTCTTCGGGCAAGATAATGTTGCAAATAAAGATTTCTGTGGTTGACATGTAAATCCTCGCACGACTACCCAAAAGACCGTTGGTTGATAAGATTTAACGATGAAGGATGTAGAGAGCATTAGAATCGTTTTCAGCAAATTGGGTCTATTATCACTAGACTGGGTTTGTAATGGAAGAGATCCGACGGTCGGTAAATTAATTTTTAAATCGATATCGATCCAAAACATATTCATCTATCCCAAAATGAAGAACAGTTGTGCATTAGACGAATGGGCAAATTGCATACAGTCAGACTTTCTTAAGTTCTGCAGAATTTACTATAAGTGGTGAGGAAAAAAAATGAGATTCCCGTATGAAGTCACAAGTTAAATAAACCCATTTAGACCCTAAGGCTACTTTTTAACCTTTAATTGATTCTATTTTAAATAATATACATCATCAATTTTTGTGGTCACTCATTGTAACTCGGCAAGAGAAACGTTTTTTTTTAACACGTTTCCGCCTATATATTAAAATGTATATACCAGACAGTGACATCAGCACACTTGTCTTGTCACATGAGAAACTTATATATTCCATTTCGGGAAATAGCCTTTGTGAAAAAGTGCGTTTTCAAATGCAATCTTTCGCATTTAACACTTCTTTCTTTTTCTTGCAGGGTGTCTCAGACAGTCAATCAAACGTGGCTACTTCGTTTTGAGGAGTCACTTCTGGGGCATATCTGATACTATGATTGACTAAGCTTTTACTACCAGTGGTAACACGTCGATGTATTGGAGATTATAATAATGTGCGACATGGTTCAATACACGTTCTTTGAATGGTCTTCGAAAACATTTCAAAAGAATTACTTTGATTTAGGATTTTAAGTGGAGAACAAAATAAACAATAATTCTATTGAGAGGCTTTATTTAAAAAGTCAGCGCCTTTGTCGTTTGTCATCGCAGAGGGTGTGAATCACTTTGTTCCAAATTAGCACCAACTCGAACCGTGTTTTGAATATCAAACGAACAATCAACACCAACTATGAACCACACCTATAACATAAAACAAATATTTGAAACCTCGATTTTATGAATGTGTGACATCTTTAATCTGTTTGCCATTGATGATCTATTCCTAATAATTTCGTTTGACCTCTTTGGCGTTGAATTAGAATTGTGTAACTTGTACGTCGATTGTCCTTGAACTGATTGATGTCTTATATCTCGCAGACGTATACTTTTTAGTTTGGTTTTGCTGCAGGTCTCACTGGATAGTTTCGTATTTTGACACCCCCCTAATTTTTAAGGTAGAAGGCATGAGCCCAATTATCACAACCCTAGCATTTATAAATATTCACACATAAGCTAAATCTGTAATGTGGTTTACATTTACTTTGAGTTAGGCTTGTAAATGGGTTGCCTTGTTGGTGACTGCCTGTCACAGTTAGACTAGCACTGGAGATCAAATGCGTAACTTAGTCTGCAAATGTGCATCCGACTTGGCTTACGTATTTACATGTGTCTGCTTCAGAGGTAAATATCTAAAAATCTACATGGTTGAGGGGTGATGAAAAGTATGTTAATTTGTTATGGTACTAGTGAACTTTCAAGATCAATAAGGTACATACTGACTCTGTGAGCCTGCTTCTCACAGGAACAGGTTGAAAATAGCTCTTTTCTGTCAAAAATGAATGTAAAAAAGAGGGGTTGGTGGTAGTATAGGTTCAGTATCAAAACCACCAGTTGCTTAAGGAATTAACCTTAATGCCTTAGTCAGAATCTTACAAGCATCCTTTCAACAAAAATCATTAGTTAGTTTTTATTTGTATCTTTATTGTAAAATTATTATCATTTTTCTCCAATAGGTCATTGTCGGATGAAAATTTGGCAAAACAACTGTCCGGTGAGGCCTGCAGTTGTTTAATTTATCCTTAGCCAGAAATCATGGGCAGGATTGTATTGGATGCTGGTAAAAAAAAGTGTGTCTATGATGTTGCTGTCCATTAAGTCAAAATTTTTGATCGGAATTCTCTTCATGATCGACGAATGAAAAGAATAGATGATGCCTGAGCAGGAGTTATCTGCTCCTTTCTTTAGTTCTTCACGTTTCCTTTCTCTTCTGCTGTCGAGGGTGTCAAACAGGACCGACAAGGGTGGGGTGGGGTGGACAACCAGGGATATATCCATTGGGACAGAGAAGAACAACACTTTTTAATTTTATAAAAAAAAAAACATTTGTTTGAACAAGAACTATGAGAGGCCCAGGTGTTGCTTACCACATGACCCGTGATCACTCTCTACGGCCCTGGTGTCAATATAAAATTTTCATCTCATCAACCTTTCATGTAGGTGTCAGTTTTGGCCTCGTCTCAAGTGGGATTTGTAAGTCTTCGAAGTCTTCGCCTTTGTCTCGTCTATAGCTGTGTCTGTTTTTCATCGTCTGTGGAATTGGTGCCTTTTGTGTTCTTTGTTGGGTCTAATTGACATTATGTTTGATAGTTTCATCTATCTCTGAGGTTTTCCGTTGTTTGTTTTTTTTTGTTCGATCCATCAACGATTGTAGATCTTATTTTAAGTGCAACACCTCTGTAAGGTTAGTATTATGAAGTAAGTGATGTAACCATTGTTCGTAGCAATGGTGGAGTACCATTCACCGTTTGTAACGATTAAAGTTTTTTTTTTAATCCTTCCATAAGATCCATGTGTACCGATGTGATGTCCTTCCAGAAGTGTCTACCCTTTTTACGTTCATGTCATCCCTCCTTGTAAAGGAGCATAACAATATATCCTAACAAAGAAGTGGCGACTTTTAACAGTGAACATATCAGGAATGTAAATAATTCTCGAGCAGTGTTTTATTTTCACTGTTAGGAATTTTATTTTTCACTATTTATCGAAGAACGTGTGGAAATCATTATCATAGTTGCGTTTTGTGTTTTAGTCAAATGAGCCATTTCAAGTATTCTTGAATTATGTTTCGTATCGGGGTTTTTGGCTTTGATAAAAACACAAAACATCACAATGCTTAACTAAACGAAGAGGTGAGTCTTTTTTCTGTTATTTTTTATGACATTTTTGGACGTCAATGATGTAACTGTGAACTCTTGTTCATAGAATCGGACGTGATTCTTGTTCAAAATTTATATTAGAATTCATCTCCACAGATAGTTGGGACATCGTTACAAACCTGATTTTGGGTACTCATGGACGACGAGATTTTGACAATGGATTAGATCATGTCAGTTCTTTGATAAGTCCAGTTAACTTTGTTATACTCCAGTTAACTCTGTTACACTCCAGTTCTGTTTAGCATTCTTATTATAGAGGTGCGACCCTTTTGGCCACTTCAGCAACAGCCAGAGCAGAAGAAGACGACGACGATTCGAGAAGTAGAAATCTCCTCTGGACACACTTGACTTAAAACAGGTTTATCTAGCATCATCAACAATGGAAAAGAGGGGGAGACGGTGGCAGATCCCGATTTGGTTACCTAAAGGTCGAGGTTGCCGTGAGTGTGTGTGCCTTCTAGCTGCAGTGCCTCTCTTTCTGGAGAGTAGGCCTAAAATGGCATTTTGGTTTTCTTCGGGGGGAAGGGAGTGCTTGATGTGCATACTCACTGCACTCTCATATTTGTAGTTTTTCATTTGAATTGCCTTTTGTGGTTTTTGCTTTGTTTACTTTAGTTACTGTGTTATATATTATAATTCCATCGTTGTAGCGAAGGAAGACCGACTTTTCATAAAAATTAACTTGAAAACGGATCACTATGGGTGCCTAATGGTTAGAGCGTCCGCCTCGGATGCGGGAGGTCGAAGGTTCGAATCCCAGAAGAGTCATAACAAATACATAAAAACTGTACTAAAAGCTGTCTTGATTGGCGCTCAGCATTGAGATTGCTAATGGATGATGAAAAATATACTAATTTGTTATAGAACAAGTGAACATTATACATGCATAAAGCACATACTGATTCTTTTAGCCGTCTTGTCACAAAAAAATAGTCAAATTAGATCTTTGCTGTGAAAAATGAATGTACAAAAGAGGGGTCGATGGCAGTGAAACATTCAGTATAAAAGCCACCAGTTGTATAAGGAATTAATCTGATTCAGTCAAAATCTCACATGCATTTATTTTCTACAAAAATCAGGTGGTGTGGTGTTTTTTTTTTTTGTTGCATGTATCTTCAGTATAAAATTATTCTCATTCTTATTTTTTTTTTTTTTTTTTTTTTTTGCAATAAGTCATTGTTGGATGAAAATTCACCAGATAAACTATCCAGCGAGACCTAAAGCTACATTAAATATCAAAAACCAAACACTCCACTTGGAATAACACAACAGTCCGACAGTGACCAAATAGAGATTCCTGAATACAGTCTGACAAGTGTGATGTGCCGAAACAAAGTTAGGAATGTTAATTCAAGTATTTTGAGAAAATTAAAAATAAAATAAAATGGACAGGATAGTTCCACAGTGGCTCGTATCGTTGGTTACAACTTACCGTCGTACATATACTATATTATACCTACAAGGGAGGACACTTTCCTCCTTTCTCGCGCGATTTATTTAAGAATATACGCTAATATTTCAAGCTACATTTCGCGTAACGTAATAAATTTTATACCGATGTTTAGCTCAGGCATTCGTCTTTGTATGCGTATTCTAAGTCTTGTTTACTATCATATCTTTAACGAATGCCAGACCATTTTTCCAGGGTACCGTCCTACATTGAGCTCATCGCGCCCGCTTAATATGAAAGTGAAATCTCGCTGAATGGAATATTGGTTAAAAGACAATGACGTCCTGCATTTGTTTATAAACAAATTGTATTTTCAGGTTATTTTCAGTTGGCCAATGAGAACGGAGCATTGCATTTAGCGTGTTGTTATTGCATATTAAGCGAGCGCAGTTAAGTTCATGTCGGACAGTACCGTGGGAAAATGATCTGGCATTCCTTAAAGGTATGATAATAAACAAAATTCGGATACGCCCACGGCAAGAACTAAAATTTCTGCCACTATCAAAGCTATAAAAAAAACTGTTCTGCTCCCTGATTTTGCGCCCTCCCCCTACAAGTAGCGCCCAGGGCACGTGCTGTGTCTCCCCCCCCATTGGCTGTGTCGGTCAAAACATGATGGAATCACGAGTGTTGTTTACAGGTGTTACGGTGTAAACAATTGCAAACAATAACATTTAACACAAAAGTATATTCCCAACTAATTTTAATGATCACTCGAGCTAGGTCGCAAGACGACTGCCCCATGCACAGAGCAGACTGGTATTTTACTTGTGCCACAGGACGGTAGCTTATCAAAACTACAGAAGTGAGGGAGAAAGTCAAGGTTCATTAAAAGTCAAAATTCTTGCCTTTACAGTGATTACAAACATAGGCCTAAGTTACGTGGGTCAGCCTATTAATCAGTATCAAATGTGTGAACCATGTAGAATTTGTTTCTAACATTATCGTATCTGACTGCTTAAAGTCTTTTAAGCTAAAACAGACATATACACCCACGCCTCTTGTCTGAATGATAAACAATAAATTGGAGGGACAGGTTAGGCATTAAGACGGCAACAAGAGCTTTGAATCATTTTTTGTCTTTCACGAACACAAGGTCTCGACCCTATACAGCCATAACATCTTTCTTCACGTTAATTATTTTGTTCCTGATTGTTGAATTCACATTTATCACAATAATAACCCTATCTGAGAACTGCAGCGATGTTGGTAATAACACATAAACGATTTTTGTGATGATAGAAATGTATTTTCCGTCTGGAAAATTGGGTCATCAGAACAAGAGATTCCCACCAATGATTTAAGGATAAACTTCAGAAGCAGAAGAAACATCGAAAGAACATTCATATGAAGGAATTTCAATCACAACAATTAATATGAATATATGTGGGCTTTGTTATGTTACAAATTTCAGTGTGAATCTTATTACGAGCATATATAAAATTCGTAAAATGGAAACATATTGGTGTTTCTATGTATTTTTATGTATTCATAAGATATTCACACACACACACACACACACACACACACACACACGAGCGCGCTAACATATCTATAAATTGAGGAGTTTGTTTTTCTTTCTATTTTGTTTTGGCAATTATTGAATAGAATCACCTTGCTGCAAGGATTTGCTGGCCGATAAAAGGTTGTTTAGGTTTTCAAAAATGAAATAAAAGCATTGACGTTTCAAGATTAGCTGCAAGTGTCTTAAACCTTTTTCATCATCCATGCCTATCTACTGTTGCGGCAGTGGTTACTCTAACTGCTGTTGCCGTCTTGCTACTGTAGGGTGTAGGTCATGCATGGGTGCACACTTTTTCAGCATGCGAGCTACTTCAAGCAAAAATGATCTACCTACCACAAAAATGCATAACATATATAGGCTTCTATTTTTTTAATGCTACGCGATCTACTCACACTACCTTCGCGATCGACGTATTGTGCAACCCAGGTGTAAGTCTCTCTCTCTCTCTCTCTCTCTCTCTCTCTCTCTCTCTCTCTCTCTCTCTCTCATGTCAGTTCTTTTAGTTCTGCAAACATTTCCCGTTCGTTTTCACTAGTTTTACTCTATTCATTGCCTGTGGTTTGTTTAATCTTCCTCTTCTTGCTTTCTCTTTTTATCTTCTTTTATGTTTTCAAACAAGGTCTTTTCTTCTCTTTAGCTTTGAGGAAAGATTTCTTACTATATTATTTTTTTTCTCTTTACTTTAATCATTATGTCGTTATATAATGTTATGTTAGTTCATGATTTAGTGCATTTCCAGTTGAAATAATTTGAAACAACTTTTTTTCTGGAAGTGGTGGTAGTATTGCAGGAGAAGAAGTAGATTGTACCAGCAATAATTCTTGCGAATACAAATCTAAAACCAAGTCACTAACTGGGATAACACTAAATTCAGTAGCATTAGTCGCACTATCACGCCGGGTACGCGAATCATTACTGGAGGTACACCCCAGCACATAATCTCCGTTTGAGCCTAATATACTGTACGTGCACTGTTCTACACTTGTGAGTCGTAGAAACACTCATAGTAATATGTACTTTTGAAAGTGACGTTACTGTCAATGGCATTCTGTTTGGTACATAGAAAACATATCCGGAGACACTGATGTCTCAGAAACTGAGATACTGTTCCATCATTGCTAATATTGTATGTTTTATATTTGTATATTTTCTTTATTCATGTTTAATCTTCAATGCAAATCTTCTTCACTACAAAATTTAAACCCCCTGTCTACACTTTTTTCCTTTTTATGTGTGATATTGAATAAGTCTGAATTATATCGTTGTGTGCATAGGTGAATATTCCTGCTCTTTCCTCTTCTTACCCTCCACGCGCGCGCGCGCGTGTGTGTGTGTGAAATAAAATTTGTCAGCTCAAGATGTTACTCCTTTTTTTACCTCCTATTTTACCTCCTCCTTCAGACTGCATGCTGGTTACTAGGACGGTGTGTAGGTGTGTGTACTGTTCAGTTGATATAGATTTTGGTCAACATATATAGGTGCTGGTCAGTTATACTGTGTGTTATCCAGCACGTATGCATATTGGTCAGTAAGAATGGGTTTTGACCAGTCATTTTACTATTATCTTTCCCCATGACCCAACATATCTCCTCTCTATTCCTTTTATAAATATTTAAACAACTCTTTCCACGTGGAAGATACACTTACCACCGAAACCGAAGAACTTGACAACATGAAAATAACACACACCTTTGAAACTAAAACCTTGACGACGAAGTGCTCCAATTAGCATGGTCATTCTTTAAAAAAATATTAAAAAAAACTAAAAAAAAAACAAACTATAACGCTATGATGAAAGTTTACTTATTTCAAATTACAAGTAAGACATTAGATTGACCTTGGAAAGTCAATGCAACAAACTAAAGGGAACAAGTTTTTGGAACTATTTGTTTGAGTCTTAATATACATACTTGTCCTCCATGCTGTCAGCATTGGGAAAGATAAAGGTAACTGCTTATTGTTTCGAATTTAAACTTTATGGTGTGGTTGTTTGTGTGTATTTCGGCGACAGTGCACAGTGAGTAAAGAGGCATTGATACTAATCGGAAGCGAAATCTGTGACTCACTTCACGGTACTTTGTGTACAGTCTAAAATCTAGAAAAACTACCGGATAACCAGTGACAGGAACTTAACCGTGAGCTCATCTTTGAAGGTATTTTAGATTAACTTATGATTTATCAGAATTTCGAAAAAGTGGAAACGTTCAGCACTAAGACACAAAAGTGGAGACCATGTAGGAAAATTAACCGTGATCTGAATCCAACCAACACTCTGACTGAACTTATATAAGAAATATTTTCATTGGTCGACGTCGAGGCTGCATGTGTACGTCATGAACCAAATTATAAATCGGCATGGAAAAGAACGGCCAACGACAGCATGGCAGCAACAGCAGTGGACGTTAATACAATTTCAAAGGTAATAAATGAAATCGTTACTTGGGAAGTCAATATGTCATGATAACATCAGTAACATAACAAAGATGTGTCATTACTAAATTAGACGGAATAATATTTTGAAACTAATACAAATGAATAATTTCTTTAAACTTTTTCATTCAAATTGCATAATACATACATACATACATATATACAAACATACACACACTTTATATATATATATATATATATATATATATATATATATATATATATATATATATATATATATATATATATATATATATATATAATCACACAGATTTGAGAAGTTTTAATCCGTAGTTTACTGAGATTCGAATCCAGGTTCATGGGTAAACGACACCCATCGCTAGGTGATGCGTGCCTAATCGTTAT